TGATAAACTAAGACGATAGTAATAATCATTCCAGATCTCGAAGGTTCCACCTTGTTCAATGACTTTTTAACAGACAGCTGTGCCATTAATTTTAGGTGTGGAGATTACCACAGATTACAAAGCTGATAAATTATGGGACGATTGTTGTCGACCAACAGCGACAACAAATGTGAAAGAATGTTAGTTTCATACAGAGCTGTCTTAATAATATTATTTAATGGTGAGTGACTAAATCATTTTGAGAGTTTTAATTTCATAATTCATTAAGTCCAATTAGTTGGTTTCTGTTAGAGAAGTAATTTGCATAATTATCTTTACACAATGATTGCAGCAATAATAATGAATTGTGGTTCAACGGAAGATGGAAAATCGCTTATTTTGGAGGAGAAGCCGTTTCTGCTTATGAAAAACTCTCTTAATTTGATAAAGTGAAATTATGAGAACTGTAAATGTGCAAGTGATAATGATTGATGTGTAAATGATAAAATGAAAGGATACTCTTTATCTACCAAACTATTTTTTGTTTATTTCCCAAAAATAACTTTTAGAAGAAATCCAATGTAGCATTGTTCCATCAAATTAAAAACTTTATTTTAATGTTGGAGTTTGGAAACCTTTTAAATAAAATGACGATGAGACTTTTACAGAAATATTAAGATTAAAAAAGGAAATAAAAAAGAAAAAAAAACATTACAAAAAGGCTTACAAGAACGATACCAACGAAACATGTTCTATCTTGTCGCATTTGATTAAATTAGCTTATTTTGGTATTTGATGTTCAAATCCAATCGGTGAGCGCATTTGTTTAAAATCACTTTTTTTCTTATTTCAGTTATTTAAGTCGTCGGTAACTTCAAAAATATAAGACTAATGTTGGTTAACTATTACCGCCATAAATGATATGTAACATGACAGCGGCATGTGAAGTGAGGTCATGATCGGAACATGCAACCTTTTTGAACTTTCTAAACTAAAAAGTCATGAAATGCGCAATAGTTGCTTCCACTATTTAAACATTTCCAGCCTCTCACTAATACATATTAGTACAGCTTCGAAAAGCAATTTGCGAAAGATATTTACACATTTGCGCATCAATAAGCAATTGCAAATATACATGTGCTGACCGAAGAAAATTTACATTTGCAAATTGTTAACCTCTTGCTATTACCATTTATTCTACCTGAAAAATTAACAAACGCAGTTTTGCGCATTATTAGCCCATCAAGAAGGTTAACAATTTGCAAATGTAGATTTTCTTCGGTCAGCGCATGAATATTTGCGATTGTTTATTGATGTGCAAATGTGTAAAATGTCATTCGCAAATTGCTTTTCGAAGCTGTACTAATATGTGTTAGTGAGACCATATGACCTCACTTCACATTCCACAATCATGTTATATATCATTTATGGTACTTCAACCACTCGAAAAGTTGTTTGAAATGTATTTGATTCCAGGCAGACTTGTCACGGCTAAGTTTTTGTTTTAATGTAAATATTGCTTGCAAAAATGCACATGATGACAAATTGTTAAGAATTTAAGCATAGCCAAGCCGTGAAAATGCCAATTTCATTAAGAATTCGCACACTCTAATTCCTTTTCATTTTTTTCGGAAGAAAGTTTTTGATTTTCCTGTTTAACTGAGAGCGGCTGAATTTGGACAATTTAATTCGTCAATTTCTCTTTTTGCATAATCATTGAAAATTACAAAACAGAAATTAACGCATAAAGCTAAACTTTAAAACATCGCACAAGATCAATTCTAACGACAACAAGTGGAGAGAATAAGAGAAAAGTATGTGTATATCCTTCAAGAGTTGGTTTTGTGATTAGAAGGGTTAGCGCTTTTGTTAGCCACGTTGATAAAGTGCTCTTTGTTAGCGAACACTAATGTAGCGTTCTTAAGCTTACAACGTCAAACAATGAGCACGTATACGTTCAACATGATAAATGCATTTATTCCACCTAAAAAATCAACAAATGTACATTTGCGTATGAATAAGCAACCATAAATATCTGAAGAGTCAGAAATGTTGGAGGAATAGGTATGCATCTCACTTTTTTTATCACTTAATTTGATAACCAATACAAATTAGCTATGTACATATTCCATTTTGCGTCATTCCAGGTATTTTGTCTGGGATTTCTCGTAAGGCCGCATTAGATGGGAGAAGTAATTTTAGCGGTAAACTGTTTCTCCTCCAAAATAAACAATCGTCCATCCTCCACTGTGCCACAATTCATCAA